GTGAGTAGCGTGCTGAAGGAGGTAGATGTGCAGGAGCTTCATTAGAGGCGATGTTGCCTGTTGCTGGCCTCCAGGTTGAATGAGAGCTGGACAGCGAGGAGCTTGCTTGGAGGAGGTATTGCGTGTTCAGGAACCGAGGCCAGATTGAATCTTAATGGAGAGACAGAGCTTATATACACAGCAGCCGGAAGTAAACCCGTGGGAACTCGCCGGTTTCTTGACTCCGTTGCGAGGATGCGGTAATAGCAGCTGGTGACGCCCCCCCTGGGCCGCTCCTTTGGTTGCTAGGATACTGTCGCAATTGTCGCATTGGAATGCGGATACGCAGTTGTAGGGGAGACGTCCACTACAGACTCAACTCCCTCCCCCTCTTCTCACACTACACTGGCTCTTCCCTCTCTGAGAAATTTTTTGGGGAAAACTACTAGGTTTTAAGGTATATCGGGTAGTAATAAATAATAAATCAGACTAAAGTTAGGATAATATAATTGATATTGCTGGATTCCTTGTAAGACCAGGAATATTTTGAATATAAATGTCATATATTTTGCACAAAAGATAACATATTTACGCAGAGTAAACATTACATCTAAAATTTGTATGTCTAATGCAAAATCTATGATGTTTGTATTCAAAATGATCATCAAATTGTAAGAATTCCAGCAATGTAAATTATATTCTGGCCGGGTAATTTGTATGAATTTCATGAGCTGAAACAAATATCTTCAGTTAATAAAAAAAAAAAATATATTCTTCACACCGTGCCAGATGGTCGGTCGGTCCCTCCCTCCCTCCTCCCAACCCCCCAACCAACCCTCCCTACCAGATAAATGTGTGGGAAAACCAGACTATTTACCTTTTTAGTAATAAATAATAAATTAGACTAAAGTTAGGATAATATAATTGACATTGCTGGATTCCTTGTAAGACCAGGAATAATTTGAATATAAATGTCATATATTTTGTACAAAAGATAACATATTTACTCAGAGTAAACATTATATCTAAAATTTGTATGTCTAATGCAAAATCTATGATGTTTATATTCAAAATGATCATCAAATTGTAAGAATTCCAGCAATGTTAATTATATTCTAGCCGGGTAATTTGTATGAATTTTATGAGCTAAAACTTATATCTTTATTAAATAAACAAAGAAATATTCTTCAAGGACACTATCTGTCAATACTCCACCCTAGCTGGGTCGGTCCCTCCCTACCAGAGAAGCTTTGGGAGAAAATAGTATATTTACATTTTTAGTAATAAATAATACCTCAGACTAAAGTTAGGATAATATAATTGACATTGCTGGATTCCTTGTAAGACCAGGAATATTTTGAATATAAATGTCATATATTTTGCACAAAAGATAACATATTTACTCAGAGTAAACATTATATCTAAAATTTGTATGTTTAATGCAAAATCTATGATGTTTATATTCAAAATGGTCATCAAATTGTAAGAATTCCAGCAATGTAAATTATATTCTGGCCGGATGATATATGATGTATATAGTGATGATGGATGGTGTTATATGTAGTAATGATGGATGGTTCTATATGTAGTGATGGTGGATGGTGTTATATGTAGTGATGATGGATTGTGTTATATGTAGTGATGGTGGATGGTGTTATATGTAGTGATGATGGATGGTGTTATATGTAGTGATGATGGATGGTGTTATATGTAGTGATGATGGATGGCGTTATATGTAGTGATGATGGATGGTGTTATATGTAGTGATGATGGATGGTGTTATATGTAGTGATGGTGGATGGTGTTATATGTAGTGATGATGGATGGTGTTATATGTAGTGATGATGGATGGTGTTATATGTAGTGATGATGGATAGTGTTATATGTAGTGATGATGGATGGTGTTATGTAGTGATGATGGATGGTGTTATATGTAGTGATGATGGATAGTATTAATGTAGTGATGATGGATGGTGTTATACGTAGTGATGATGGATGGTGTTATATAGTGATGATGGATGAGTGTTATATGTAGTGATGGATGGTGTTATATGTAGTGAAGATGGATGGTGTTATATATGTAGTGATGATGGATGGTATATGTAGTGATGATGGATGGTGTTATATGTAGAGATGATGGATAGTATTATATGTAGTGATGCTGGATAGTGTTATATGTAGTGATGATGGATGGTGTTATATGTAGAGATGATGGATAGTGTTATATGTAGTGATGATGGATGGTGTTATATGTAGTGGTGATGGATGATATATGTAGTGGTGATGGATGGTGTTATATGTAGTGATGATGGATAGTGTTATATGTGTGATGATGGATGATGGATGGTGTTATATGTAGTGATGATGGATAGTGTTATATGTAGTGATGATGGATGGTGTTATATGTAGTGATGATGGATGGTGTTATATGTAGTGATGATGGATAGTGTTATATGTAGTGATGATGGATGGTAGTGATGATGGATGGTGTTATATGTAGTGATGATGGATAGTGTTATATGTAGTGATGATGGATGTTATATGTAGTGATGATGGATGGTGTTATATGTAGTGATGATGGATGGTGTTATATGTAGTGGTGATGGATGGTGTTATATGTAGTGATGATGGATAGTGTTATATGTAGTGATGATGGATAGTGTTATATGTAGTAATGATAGATAGTGTTATATGTAGTAATGATGATAGTGTTATATGTAGTGCTGATGGATGGTGTTATATGTAGTGATGATGGATGGTGTTATATGTAGTGATGATGGATGGTGTTATATGTAGTGATGATGGATGGTGTTATAGGTAGTGATGATGGATAGTGTTATATGTAGTGATGATGGATAGTGTTATATGTAGTGATGATGGATGGTGTTATATGTAGTGATGATGGATGGTGTTATATGTAGTGATGATGGATGGTGTTATATGTAGTGATGATGGATGGTGTTATATGTAGTGATGATGGATAGTGTTATATGTAGTGATGATGGATAGTGTTATATGTAGTGATGATGGATAGTGTTATATGTAGTGATGATGGATGGTGTTATATGTAGTGACGATGGATGGTGTTATATGTCGTGACGATGGATGGTGGTATATGTAGTGATGATGGATGGTGTTATATGTAGTGACGATGGATGGTGTTATATGTAGTGACGATGGGTGGTGGTATATGTTATCCTCTGAAACAATATGAATTGTTCCTTCTGTTACGATAAGGCAACTATTAATATTCGTCTACTATGTCATTTAACCAATATATATATATATATATATATATATATATATATATATATATATATATATATATATATATATATATATATATATATATATATATATATCTTGATGAAATCACACGGGAAAAGGGAAACAACGGAGCACCTTAGCTTTCGTCTTTATTCAAGACATCTTCAGAGGCAACTGGATTACATGGACAGAGAGAGGCTTAAATATACAGGGTGACCTTAAAAACATGAGGTGAGGTCATAATGATGTCATCTACCTGTGTGTAAATGAGGCAGGTTAGGTTAGGTTAGGTTTTTTCCGTGCCTTTTTATGTGTGACTTTTTCTTGTGACTTTTTTCCTGGATTCGTTGTAACAATGCTGAGGAAGATGGGGCTTCAAAGCTTACATATAACATCCCCCTGAGTAGTCGTAAGTTTGTGTGACATAAGTCATCAAACATGGGTGTGCCCAAGGGCCAATTTTGTTTTGAATATTGAGTCGCAGCAAAAAAAGTGCTCAAGTTATGACCAACTCTGGGAAATGGGACATCTTAATTATTTTTGAGTATCCAGCCCCTGATTACAGTGTAACTCCTCCCACCCCGTTTTACTAAACTTGCGAAAAGTCAAATTTAAAAAAAAAGTTGTTTACCATAAAAACGTCCAAATACTTTCAACAACAACAATCATTGGTACCCGGTATACCACGACTAAATTTACTCGACTTATGTACTGTATTGCAGTACAGTACATTTTGACATACAGTAATCCCCAACTAATGTGTTCTGTAACAGTCATCATTTTGTTAACTATTTCAGTCAGAACTACATTAATAGGTTTGAAATACTGTAGCAGCCATGTCTTCGTAAATTTGTTTGTTTAGATGTAGATTAGGTTGTTAAAGCTTATCTAACTTGGTTAATAATGTTCAAGTTTATCAAACACAGGCATGGTACCGTATAGTACAGTAGTCGGTGATAAAACTTATCCTACACAGGTATGTTTTGTACTTTTTTGTTCAAGCTTATCTATCTCAAACATGATAAAGTATTAAAGCTTACATGACAAAACCATTCTAAAAAGTGTAACTAACCAACTCATGGCTTTTGTCTCAAAATTTTATACAATTTAAAACCTGGGGTCATGGTTTTAAATTCATATCTGATTTAGTACAGTATGTTAAGCATTGATAAACCAGGTCTTGGTACAGCATGAAAGATGGCCAATATTAGAGTTACAAGAACAGGACTGCTAACCATTTTCCTAACTCAAATTATCCGAATTAAACCAAACTAAACCTAAGATAGTTTGGGTTAGGCTTGGGTAATTTATGTGGTAAAAAACTAAATAGGTTTGCTGCTCTGTTCTGGGTAATACTTCAATAATGATGCTTGTGTAATTACTGTACTGCAAAATCTTTACTTTGGTATTTTCTTTTCCAGGCACTTTCTATTCTCTCTAATTGCATTCTGGGATTCTATATGCACTTAATTTTCCTCTGGTAAAATATATCACAGACAATGCAATATAGTAATTTAACAAATCTAGTACGGTATATACATTTTTTTCTAATGCTTCTTAATAGTAATAATTCGGTTATTATACATGAATATCTTAAAGTGGTGGATTGCTTCTGCATTTTAACCTTCAGTTTTAACCTCTTTTTAGGAAGTCTTTCTTTTTTTGTTTTGCTGTTCTAACTCCTTCAAACTGTATTGGTGAAACAGCATGGGTGACGGTCTCTCTCTATCTCCCACACAGAGTCAGTCCGGTTTGACAATGAAAGTTACCTTCAACTACCAGAAAACCACAAGAGGGTAAGCCAAGTACGCATATCCGCTGCTTTTGTGAGGGGGAGAGCTAATTTTGTTTTTGTCCTTTTTTTCTTTAATGAGGAGGGGGACTTGCCTATGTTCCATTGAGTCATTGGCCTGAAGCTCTATTGATCTGAAAGTTTAGTACAGCATAGTAAAACCTTTGAAGCAGTGAACCACTGGAATATAGTCATATCCTTTCTTTACTGTTGTACATATATGTTTGTGATATATGATAATAATATGTACATAAATATTTTGTGTTTGTGTGTGACATACATGCTTATTACATGAGATTCATGAGCTACAGTGCATGATCAATGATTTATTAATAAATACTACACATGTTGATTGCACATACATAATTCAAGAGATATTGTACATAAATTCGTGACTGCTTGACTGCTTTTATATACTACTGTACCATAACTGTTATTATTGTGTAGGTATGAGGTGACAACAGTTTACATTGATACATACTGTACTATATTGTGCTACATCACTATTTAGTGATAAGTGATAGCATTAGTAACTGACTCCGTTAATGGGCCATACAACACCATGAATAATCATGTAAAGTGTAATTCTTTCACCTTGCAAAAGGAAGTGTAATAGCTCGAATATTTGGGCAGTAACATTGCCAATTCAGGTAAAGCATTTGCTGACTTCATTTGAGTATATAAACTGATCACCCTAATTCTGTTTGGCATAATGAAATTGAGATTACTCTTGCAAGACATCCACAGGGCCAGGTGACTTTACCTAACTTTTACCTCATGGCCACCCACTAGAGGTTGGCAGTGGTCTGTGTAGGATCCCTCCATTGGCTTTGATAATTTTGTCTAGGAGTACTGTATTTTGAAATGCAGTATTGTTTTCGGTTCCACAGCTTGAACTGGTGACCATTCCATAGATTTACCACCCTCTGTGTGAAGTAGTATTTCCCTATGTTGTTCTGCATGATAATTTGTCAAGCGTGAAGTTATGTCATCTCGTGTTGGTGGTACGTGACATCACCAAAAATGGCCCGGGTTCATGTTTACCATCCATCTCAAGATTTTGAATGTTTCATTGAGATCTGCCTTATTGTGTCTTGTTTGAATCTCAAAGGGCTCTAGAATTGTTTTGGATTTTCCAATTTAGCTGGATTTTGACTACAAAGTACTGTACTGTACAGTATATGGTTTTCAACCCAATGTAATGCAGTACATACTGTACCTTCAACTGATGTGCAACATTGCCTTGTTACTGTCACATCGCTCTGACCCTTTTTGCCTCATTTATACATGGGGTGGAAGGTGAGACAGAGGCATCACTCTACTAATGGTTGAGCAGTTGAGACGTATGTGCAGTCAAGGTTGTTGTAGCTATTCAGTACTTATCTGGTGAATTTCTCTTGACAGGTATTGTATGATGGCAAACTTGCAGCTGCGATTGTATTTATGTATAATCCAGTGGCCACGGACTCTCAACTCTGTCTACAGTCTGCCCCAAAGGGTAACCCGTCCTTTTTCGTCCACAACCCCCATGCACTCATGCTTCAGGTGAGTCATCTGTGCTATCCATGTTATCTTAATTCAGGAATATATAAAATTTTACTCAGGAGTTGATATACTTATAAACAATCAAGAAGTAATATGAAAAATGTCTTGGGAGTTAAGATTTCCCTGGTCTCCTAGGTGTACATTAATTCGTTGTGGGAAAGAACCGCTGTACAGTATACAGTTCAGTATTAGTGTTTCTTTTTAAGAGGATGAAATACTGTACTGTATAAAGGATAGACCCATTTTCCATGTGTTTACTGTAGTACGGTAAAGTTCACCAGACAAACAGAAAATCATACAGAGTTTAGAAGCTGTGAGGTTGCAGCACTTATCAAACTGTGTGAATTATAACATGATTTATTAATACAGATAACAAAATATATGATGTGTAAGGTACTGTAAACACTTACATAGAGAGAGTGAATATGTGTATAAACACACTACTTAGGGCTCACAACTTCCTACACCAGGAATTGCTTTCGTTTAATGGAAAATGACTGTAGAAAAAATATCCCTTTGCTCAGCTTTCTGAAAGATGCCAGGACTCAAAGAATATCAAAGGGTCAAAAAGAATGTGCAATAAAATTTGCTGTGTAATAATGAATGAATTGAAGATGCTACTACAGTATGTAATTTAGCACTTCCCTCACACTTGGAAGTCTTCTATTACAAAATGTAATGTAACAATTGTTTCCCCCCATGAGAAAATTGTTTTTCAGGGATAATCAATCCTTAAAGTTACCTGTCCTTTTCATAATGTAATATAATCCCAGGGATAATTTAGTTTTATATGATTCTGGTTTTTCCTCCCAAGCATAACTTCAATCTTTGTGTTTTAGGATGTGAAAGCTGTGGTGACTCACAGCATCCACAGTACTCTGAACAGCATGGGTGGTATCCAGGTGCTCTTTCCACTGTTTCAACAGCTTGACCTGCCTCATGACACACCCCCAGCCATCAATGACTACTACAACACCAACAAAGACCCCTCACTAGGGTCAGTTTGTCTTGGTACTGAATGTTTTGAAAAGGTTCAGTTTTGTCATCTAGGTGTAGACTTCTGGTAGGCTGATACTGTAGCTTGTTAGATTCCTTGCTGTCTGAACTTATTTCTTTTATTGAGATTCAATTGCAGTACAGTATAACCTTGTGGCGATCTGTGGTGTAATGGTCAGCATGCTCGCCTTGCAAGTGAGCGGATCCGGGTTCAATCCCAGAGCAGGGTGGAACTATGGGCAAGTTTCCTTACACCATTTGCCCCCGTCTACCCAACAGTAATTCGGAACCTGGATGGTTTTTTTTTTTTTTTTTACGGGAATTAGCCCACCCGGGCACAGGTCAAACGACCCACAACGGAGCCTGGGGGCAAAAAAAAGAACTGAAAGAAATTGAAAATATAGAAAAAAACGTTATACTGTATTAATCTACACCACGAAGATGCCGGAAAACCAGCTTTTTAAAGTGAGACAGATTGTAAGAGCATGGAAACACAGAAGAAGGCAGAGCATTCCACAGTTTGGCTGTGTGAGGAAAGAAGGAGGTACTATAACGGGTTATTCTCGTGTGACCGACATCCACAGAGAAATGGTGGGCACCGCGGGCAAGACGTGTGTTACGAACCCACGGCCTTGCCGGCGGTACACAGGATGCCAAATCCACTGAACATTGCCCGTTAAAGTACCTGTAAAAGAGAGAGAGTGAAGCAAATTGCGGCGAAGAGAAAGGGAAGAGAGATTGTCGACAAAAGGAGGAGAGTTAATAAGACGAAATGCCTTTGATTCCACCCTATCTAATAGTTGGACAGAAGAAGAGCCACCCCAGATATGAGAGCAGTACTCCAAGTTAGGACGAATGAATCCCTTATATACTTGGAGCAACTGCTCAGGAGTGAAGTAGCTGCGGCATCTGTACAGCATTCCCAACTTTCGGGAGGCAGCTTTAGTTATACTAAGGATGTGTGATTTCCAGGACATATTGGAGGAAATGGTGAGGCCTAACATATTTATTTCAGAATTTGGGAGGATGATAGCGTCCTGAAATGTAATTGGTGGGAGATCGTCTACTTTACAAAGTGTAATTGGTAAATATTGAGTTTTGTTACTATTGAACTTAACCAAGTTTGTATCTCCCCATTCAGAGATGCTGCACAGATCCGCGTTGATAGAAGTAATGATATCAGTTCTAGAAACAGATCTAGTTTGAGAGTTAGGAGGAAGGGGAAAATGTGAGGAAGAGTGAAGAGTAGAATTATCGGCGTAAGAATGGATAGAATTAGTTGTAGTGTGAAGTAAATCATTGATAAAAAGAAGAAGAGAGTTGGTGAGAGAACAGAACCCTGTGGGACGCCACTATTGGTAGAGAAAGAGCGAGAAATCGATCCCTCGACAACAACTGCCATGGATCGATTCTCAAGGAAGCTAGAGATGAGAGAACAAAGTGGGGGAGAGAAACCAAAAGAGGGAAGTTTAGATAGCAAAGACTTGTGCCATACCCTGTCAAATGCTTTGGAGATGTCGAGGGCCACGACAAAGGTTTCCCCATAATCCCTAAGAGAGGATGACCAAAGATGGGTGCAGATTGTGTTCTGGGGTAATGGTTATCCAGTGCAATTGGCGAGTTATCCGGTCTTCTCGGACTATTCCTTGACATTGGGTCATGCAACTTGTTAACTTAGGGTGTGGTTGTTGTGTTGGCGACGGCTTCTACACCTCAAATAAATTACCGCCAAGGTGACCCAAGGGCCGGCCATCCTTGTTACAAGAGGGCCAACCAATTTAACCTTTCCCTTGTAGTGGATTCTTCCCCTACAAACGTTTGTCGCTGCGTAGCCGACCCCGCAAATTCCCCAGTGTATGCCTCGTGGTCTAGGTCAACCAGCGCCGCCATACATCACGGAGGTCAACTATTAAGCCACGCCTACCTCCGCTATATAAGACCTGACCTCGTGGTGACCCGAGACAGCACGGCTTTCGAAAAAACCGAGGAACCAATACAGCAATAGCATTAATATATGAATCAATCGCAAATGCTGCAAGTAACAAAGAACAATGTAATATAATTCTAAGAGATGTTTCAAAAGCATTTGATAAAGTCTGGCATGAAGGAATGAAGTATAAAATAATCAAATTGAACATGCCTACAAACATCACAGCACTACTATGTAATTTCTTAGATAACAGAAAGGCCAAACTAATCATTGACAACCATCTAGGACAAACCTTCAACCTTTATAGCGGAGTTCCCCAAGGCAGCAATATATCACCAACGTTATATACTGTATATACGGCAGATATGCCGCAACCACGGCAATCAGAATATATAGCATATGCAGATGATGTTACACAGATAATCAGGTACCCGGGAAAATCAAAACAAATGATGGCCATTAGAACATGCAGAGAAATAGAGTTAATAAACAACTATGAACGAAAATGGAAGATAAAAACCAATGTCCAAAAACTCCAAATAATTCACATCGCGAAAACGAACCCATGCCCTATTATTATCAACAATCAACAAATACCATATGTTGCCAAGGGAAAAACATTAGGACTCAAAATATCCAGAAGTGGAATAATCCCTCACATTAATGAAAGAATAGCTATGGCAAGAACCCAACTTACAAAACTCAGAAGATTCCTCCAACTGGACACCAACACGCAATTGCACCTATATAAAGCACTGATCAGACCACACTTAGAATACCCTCCGATACCTCTGAACACAATTGCAAGAACTAATCAACTTAAATATCAAGCAGTACAAAATATAGCCCTCAGAAGAGCGGCAAAACACCAACCACCATACACACAAACAGTACAAGACATACACATAGAACACGGTATAGACCCACTCAACATCAGAATACACACCCAAGCAAAAGCAATATGGGAAAAAATCCAGCAAGAACAGGATCCCATACTAAACAAATTAATTGAGGAAAACAACAATACAACACACAGTTGGTGGCCTAGAAGCAGGAAAAATGATAATGAAGAACCAGAGCCTCTATATACACAATAACAACAAAATAACAACAAATAAGAACCAAAAAGATGGGCACAACTCTCCAGTCACACAAGGACCTGGAGGGACCCCACAAATAAACAGAGACCTAAATAGTTAAAAAAAAAGAAAAAAAAGATGGGGATCATCCCTACAGTGCCACAAGGACCTGGAGGGACCCCCCCCCACCCTAAGATAATATGCCCCAAGGACAACTCGGAATAACTTAGCTTAGCTTGGCTGAGACCGGCCTTCCCTAACCCCATGAACCTCTAATGCAGCACAGTTACGGAAGACAAAAAAACCCGTCTCCGCAAGGTGGATAGCCCACCTGCTGTTAACCTTCTCCTTTACTTCCCACTTCTGAACTTTACCTTGTACTTTTATCCTTCTCCCACTCTCAGAGCTACTGCTCTCTTCTCTCCGTACAACCAACCAACCAACCACTCTCTTTTCTACCTACACCAACCAGCCAGCAACACCTCCTCCTCCTCCGCCTGCCTGGCGGTCCTCGCTCCCGCCGGCGAGCATGGCGACCCACAGGCTGGTCCTCCTCTGAGCATCCTCACCAACCAGCTCTCTCTACATCACGCTTGTAACCATGCTGCCTTCCCAGCACCAAGCTGCATTGTACATCCAATACAACATGTATATAGAGAGCACATTGTGAGTTTCCTTTCTCCATTCCATCCTGAGTGTGAACCAAACATCCTTGAACCCCACAAATGGTGACTCCCGGAGATTCACACTCACACAGGATGGAGGAGAAACTGATCATGCTCCCAGTCTTCAAGCAACATGGAAGACTGGCTTATCCACACAGAAGCAGCTCTCATCGGCTCTACAACTACTGTCTCTACACCGCAGGTTAGACACCCTAGAGCAGCACTGCTTCTCTAAGCAGACACCAGCTCCTCTTCCTGCCCCAAGCACCATGTCCTACCGACCCCAGCACACCCGTCCTGCCTCAGACGCCGCCCCCGGCCCAACAGTAACCCCTGCCGCCCCTGATGCGGCCTCTGTTCCTGAGTGCGGACCCACACACCCCTCTTTTCTCCCTCAGGTACTCCCTGCTAATGTCCTGCACCCTGCTGCTGTCGTGGACCCAGCTGCTGTCACGAGCCCTCATCCGCTTCTGCTGACGCAGCCCCTGCTCCTGACCCAGGCCCACACACCCCAGCAGGCGCATCTGACGACTCTGTACCTGCCGTGAGGGAAGCACAACATTCATCGCCTCCACACACCCTTTTTCTCCCTCTCTACTCCCACAGATATTGTGTATCTAGACAGTTGTCTCCAGCGACCGGCTCATCCACGCCATCGCCGTTGTCTCACATGAGGCATGCACCGCCCGTTCTGCCTCACATGTGCTATGCAACCCTGCAGACAACAAGTCTCCTACACCGCCTGGAGGGAAGGGGGAGTACAGGTATTGTAGTGGATTTCTCCCCTACAAACGCTGTTTGTCGCTGCGTAGCCGACCCCACGAATTCCAGTGTGTGCCTCGTGGTCTAGATCAACCAGCGCCGCCATACATCACGGAGCGGGGGTCAACTACTAAGCCACTCCTACCCCCCGCTATTTAAGACCTGACCTCGTGGTGACCTGTCTCTTTCTACCTACACCAACCAGCCAGCAACACCTCCTCCTCCTCCGCCTGCTTGGCGGTCCTCGCTCCCGCCGACGAGCATGACGACCCACAAGCTGTCCTTCTCTGAGCATCCTCACCAACCAGCTCTCTCTACATCACGCTTGTAAGCATGCTGCCTTCCCAGCACCAAGCTGCATTGTACATCCAATACAATATGTATATAGAGAGCACATTGTGAGTTTCCTTTCTCCATCCCATCCTGAGTGTGAACCAAACATCCCAAAAACCCCACACCCTATTTGCTTCTTCAGTTGTGGAATTTAACTCGAGGAGATTAATGATGATAGTAATGATAGATATTATTCTCTCATCAATTGAACTCTACTTGCTTGCTCAGATCTCAGGGTGAAACTAAATTCAGGCAAGATACCCTCAGTCCTTCCTTTAAGAATTATATTTACCTTTTTTCAC